AATACATCTACTACATGCTATCTAGCGATCTACTAAACATTAACTCTCCTGACCTTCTTTCTGTTTTATATTCTATAGCTTGGCCTCCCTCTTTCTCGCCTCTCTGGAGTCCAAAGGTTACCTACTGTCATCAACTTTTACCATGTTGCCAAAGCAGCAGCTCAAACACACTAAGTGCACACTGGCCTTGGCCCACTCCTGCAAACTGTCGCTACACACACACACACGCACACGCACACGCACACGCACACGCACGACCAAAGGTGCACTTGGAGCAGCCACTTTTTTTTTATCAGTTTCTCTCTAATGGCTTTCTCCTGACTCACATTATACAACACACACACATTAATTTACAGCGAGGGCAGCGTGTAGGAAGAGAGCCATGTGTGTTTTTCTACATGTGTATGCTCTAAGTTAATAGGTTGTGATTTTTCAAGAGGGGCTCATTAGCTGCCGTCTGTCAGTGTTAGGCCCCCTCCTCAGAGGGTGGTCCATTCACTGTGTGTGTGTGTGTTGGACATTATGTCCAGGTAATGAAGGTGTTTTTTTCCGAAGGGTCAGGGCATCCGGAGAAAGAGACGTGGCATTAAATGAATTAGGGAGGGAATACGAATTCAAAGTGTTGGGGAGAGGGTGAACTGGAGGATGATTGACATGCATAGAGAAAGAAAAACATGAAAGGAAGGAAATGAGGCGAGACTTCAGAAGGTTTCTACATATGGCCGTTAATTAGGGAGGGGGTGAGTTTTTATTATAACCCTACCACCCCCTCTCAGCACCACAGGGTGCATGTTTATGGTAAACAAGGTGCGTGTGACAACGGCATGAAGTAATGATTTAGGTTTCTGACAATCTCCCTTATTTCCATCTGGAAACCACAGTGACCCTTTGAGTTCTAAAACTTTTACAAGAGTGGCTGTAATAAACCCAAACAAGAAAAAATGACTAGTACAATAAACAACGGCTATTTCCATTCTGAAATACCTGTTGATTACTTCCTATTAATGTATATAAAAGGGTTTGTAATGCTGTTATAATTTAGTTTAAGAAAGTAATAATAATAAATTGTATTTGTAAAGCACCTTTCATTGCTAAAAGCAACCCCAAGGTGCTACAGGAGGCGTAAGAAACAAACAAAAGAATCAAAAGTTTAATCAAAAGCTTTTTTTAAAAGAAAGGTTTTTAGGCTTTTCTTGAAGTGGTCTGTGGAGTCCTCAGGTGGTCTGGGAGGGAATTCCACAGGTGAGGAGCAGCTGCACAGAAAGCCCGATCCCCCATTGTGCAGAGTTTGGTCCTGGGGGGGCGAAGCCGATGCTTTGTTGTGGAACGGAGGTTTGTGTGTGGAGGTTTGTGATGCGAGTAGTTCTTTGAGGTATGAAGGAGCATTCCTGTGGATGCACTGATGGGCGAGCAGTGAGATCTTGTATTCAATCCTGAATGAGACAGGAAGCCAGTGGAGGGAATAAAGAACGGGTGTGATGTGGTTGTACTTTCTCACCCTCATCAGGATCCTAGCAGCCCTGTTCTGTACGTATTGGAGCTTCTGAAGGCTCCCGCTAGGAGTCCCGATGAGGAGAGCGTTCCAATAGTCAAGCCTTGAGGAAAGGAAGGCACGGACCAGTTGTTCAGCATCTGACAGGGAGAGTGTGGTACGGAGTTTTGCAATGTTCCTGAGGTGGTAGAAGGAGGTTTTGCACAGGTGTTTGATGTGGGTGTCAAAGGTCAGATGTCGGTCAAATCTTACACCCAGGTTGGTAACTGATGTGGAGAGGGGTAAGTTTCACCAGAAAAGGTGATGATGAAAGTCATAAGTATTTTATTTGCGTTCCAAAGCAGTACATTAACTTTTAAGTTTATAAATGTATTTTGTAATCTAACAGCGGACATGTTTATGATGCTATTATTAACACATTATAATGTTAAGCATATTTTAAGGACTTACCTTTTAACTAATGCTTACTACAATGACCTTAGAAAAATACCATTACCTTTTTATTGTATAAAATGTAAGTGTTTAATGATAGTAAAGAAATAAAAAGTAGCAAATTCTCAAATTGTTGGAGCTGAAATAAGAACTTATTTGACATTTCATTTCATTTAGACACTCAATTGATGCTAAGACTAACCAAATGAAAGAATCAAGCGAGGAAATGTGTGAATACACATGAAAAGGTTGAAAGACTCCATATAGAAAGAGATAAAAGAAAGAGAGTGAACAGAAATGCGCGTCATGGCGAACGGCAGCACTAAAGAGTAACTGCAGGTATGTAAACTGAGCAGACATAACATTCAAACACAGCTCTGTGTGTGTGTGGCCTGCAGGGAATATGCAGCTGTTGAAATATAATGTCACATCAGCCTATAGATCACATTTCCATACATGTGTGTATCTATACTGCAAAGTGTGAATTGTCAAGAGAAGAATGAAATAGTGACAGGGTAAAGAGGGGGTTTCATAACTGCAGCATCACCACAGCTACCATAACACATGATGTACTGTATAGGGCTGAACCTAATGTCTCAAGCTTCTATTAAGGTTTTCAAATGTCTGTGGTTATATTTTATGATGAGCAGATGACGTTTATGATGTTATTGTGGGTCTATAAATGTAATTTATGGTGCTGTTAGTTAGGTGTGTTTCTCCCTTTGTGTGCAGTGAGCTGCAGAGCAAACTGTTCTTTTGTTCTGACAATCTTTCTCATCAAATATGAATGGTAGCTGGATATTTGGATAGATAAAACATGGATTTTGGAAATTAGTACATCTACCTTTTTTCAATAAATATAGACTTTTGACCTTACAAAGCTCTGAGATTATTAGACATTTGAATCATAAGCCAGGAACAATCCTACCTCAGTCTACCAATGTTATAATAATACAGTTCAGATAAACCATATCAAAACACAATGGATACATTTAAAAAAGCATTCAAATGTCAACCAAAACAATACAACATTCTTTTGTTGTTTACCAGCTGCAGCAAACATTCTCATTTGCCTCCATCCCCCAAGATGCATTTTTGATTTGCAAACAATTTGCATTGAAAGCACAGTTTGATCTACTAATATAAACAGGATGTGTTTATCAGTTGTAATCATGTTCTGTTGTCTCAGAAATGGACAAACAAACAGAAGTCATTACGGCTGCAGGTATATGCACGCTCAGGCTTCACGGCATCCGAAGAAGAGCTCTGCGTTGACACAAAATCCCCAGCTGAAGAGAGCATCTGACATCAGGTCACAGCCTAATCGCAGCGTTACAGTTGCACAGTTTCCCACTGATTCCAGTCAGTAAACAGGGGTCAAAAGTTGAGTGATTTACAGCTCCGACGTGGCTTCACATCACAAACCCACTGGGATTCATATAAAAGCCCAGAAAGACATCTGGCAACTTTCCAACTGGTTTTATAAAACTTTAAAAAAACTTTTAATCCACTGTAGCTAATTAAGGTCTCGTGATGTTGAGGGATTTCTTCTCCTCCCTCTAAAATGTTGGTTTCTTTCTTTCACCCTTCACCATTTTCTCCCATATTTCTCTCTCTCAAACCTCCTCCTCCTTATCCAAATCCACACACCTTCCTCTCCTGCTAACTCTTTCTCCGTAAGCCAACTGCGGAGCCTAAACTCAAGGTATGTTTGGCTTGAAATGCACTAAAAATGTCCATTCCCTGGGGGAAAAACATAACTAACATATATATATATATATATATATATATATATATAACTTTAGGTAGCTACACGTATTTGCTTCCTTGTGGAGAGATGGATTAGAAGCATGATTTAAGTGAGCGTAAAGACATCTTATAATTCCTTTTTAAAAATAATTTATATTGTTTAAAGCTGCTTTTTCTTCCTGCTTACCAATGTTTATTCCCCCATACAAGGCGAGCCTGATCATTGTGAGTATACATGATTGAAATAGTCATTTATTGAACTATAAAGTGATATGTATTATTGGATCATTTGCTTGTCATAAGTAGAGTATCTCACCTAGTTTGTATCATTAAGAAATACCTTTTTTATGTGGCTATCAGTTTGTGTCGTGCGTTTTAAAAAATCTTGCTGCATTCCCTCTGATATTCGGTGTCAGAGGGAATGTTTTGGACAAGATCTTCCACTGATGAAGATGATGATATTGATGTTTGTAATGCCATATGTGCACATGAGTCATCTGTCACTGTAATAACAAACAATCTAGATCATCATCGCTGTTTCCCAGGATGTCTGGACGTTAGGTTTGTCTGCTGGACCGGAGTACGAGCGCTTACCACTGTAATTACAGAGCCAGTAGCTGCGTGTGTGTGTGTGTGTGTGTGTGTGTGTATACGTATGACCACATAATGATGATGCTAATGACATGTTGATGCAGGCTCCTGTGCCATCATTATACTGCACATGAATGAGATGGCCAAACCGTTGTTTGCAGCATCTAAACAGCTGTTCATTATCCTTTGTTTATTTTTTATGTATTTTTGCATATCAAAATATAGGATAAAGTCATATCGTTTCAGGTCTATTGTTAAGACAACTATATTAATTTTTAAATGTAATGCTATACAAGATTACGTTAGTGCTCAATACATGTGGCTAGGATTTTGGAAAACATCATTTGAAACATGTTTTGGGTTAAATATTGTAACGTTGTATAAATGACGTACTTCATATTTCTTGTCAGTTAAAATAACCCAACTGTGACTTTGGCTTTCACAAAGGTTATTATTTCAGCTATACCTTTTTAAAATAACTTAATACACATAATATGGCTGCACTGATCATCTATATCCCTGTTTTTGTCTTTGTCCGCCATGTTTCCAGGCATCAGCGAAGTCTTTACAGCCATTAGAATGTATGGCTGAATGAATTGAGATAAGACACAGGTTGTAATAAACCTGTACCCATCTGCTTCTAAACATGGACCTCACTTAACTTCTAATTGTGTTTGAGGAAGAAAAGGATATTATTTTTTGTCCCGCTAACTTCTCTACGTCTGCTCTTGTATAGGAGCCAAACAGCGGCCCCCCCACCCTGGTGACCCTGAAAGTTGACCCCGATGGATTCTTCCTCTACTGGACTGGAGGCTCCAACCTGGTGAGACACTCTTTACTCCACCACAGCTGCTCTAAGGAATAGCTACCAGCTTCTTTGTGGATTTTTAAATGGAGTACACTTTTGAATGCAGGACTTTTTCTTGTAACAGAGTCTTTTTACACCGTAGTATTGCTACTTTTACTTAAGTAAAAGGCCTGAGTACTTCTTCCATCACTGCAGTTTGGTCTCAAGGTGCATTGCGTTCACAAAAACAGACGTGATGGAATATTAAAGCTCCATTCTACAGCAGACCACAATGGGTTTTTGATGCACAAACACAAATGGACAATACACTTGTTATTTGTTTCCTTGAGTGCCACATAGCTCCTTCTTCCTCCTGCCGTTTAGCTTATCTCTTCATCGATTCTTCCTCCTCGTCTTCAGTGTCTCATTGTCTCTCATTGTGGTTTTATCCAGTCCATTAGTTCAGCCAAATTGGCTTTCATCAATTTGTCCCGGCCTTGTTTGCCTCCTCTCCCCTCTCTTCCTCCGTCTCCCCCCCGATGTCTTTGTGGTCTTCATCCTTTTAGTCCTCCATCTCTTTCCCTCAATCTCTGTTTCCCAATACCCCCCCCCCCCCCCCCCCCCCTGCACGTCTTTGGTGGCTGCGCTTAAGCCATTAGTTTGGTAATATTGGATTTTAGCCATTTGTTGACATGATTAGCCAGACGTAGTAGACAGTGCGTCAGCAGGATGTAGGGTTTGAGATTCTGATTACGGTTGTGCAGTGTAGAAGAATAACATATTTTTTTGTTTTAATCATCTTCCATGTCTTTGTTACGTCTTCCTCTGTCTCCTCTCGACCTTTTAACGGTAGACACTACAGGTGAATAGTGCACATTTAACAGATTTCACTATCCCCCTTCGATGAATTACATTAGCCCAAATTCTTTATGAAATATACGTTTTCAGATCTTTGTAATGTTTAATTATTCAAATAAGACACTATCTTATTTGAATCTATGAAATAAATATAGATACAGTTTAAAATGAACATCTTAATGTGCATTTCAGATATTTATTTCTAAAAAGAAAATAGGCCAAATTCTCAAAATGGCTATTTGTACATTTTGTGAAACCTCTTCATGTGTATCAAATGACATTTCAGGGCAGCTTAATTTGCTCTCCCCATCCCTCCACCCACTTCTCTCTCTATGTTTTTCAACTTTTCTCTCACACACACACACCAGTGTCCCTCTTTTTATTTCTAGCTGTCTATTTATCCTTAAGGCATGTACGGAATGACCTGTTGATAGCTAATATTACCACTGCGTTGTGTGTGCTCGTGTGTGTACTCATGTGTGTGTGTGTGTGTGTGTGTGTACATGATCTGGGCCAGAGCACACATCATGCTGTCTGTCTGCACGTGTGTCCGCATGTGTCCTTGCATTCACATAACACACAGAGGCTTTAAATACTCATTTCATCCTGATGTCTGCACATGCACGCGTTGTGTGTGTGTGTGTGTGGTATTGCGATAATAGGCCATTTGTCGCCTGAGGTGCAGCGGTGACACTGTTTAGCAAAGAGTCATTAAATCTTTACATCGTGAAGATGAAATCTCTGCACACAACGAGAGCAAGCAGTTCATTGAAGACACACAACTGGAGTTTGTTTAGAAGTCACTTCAGCTGTGGAGAAGCTACAAGTTGGAACATAGATTCAGAAAAGACGACTGCACATACTGTTTAGATGTCACTTAAAGTAAAGAGGTTCTGTTGGTTAGTCAGACTCATGCAGCGTGCTGTCTTGGTCGTATTTTTATTGGCAGTAACACTTTTATAGGGAATCCAAACATAAAATGTCACCAATGACCCCAGTCCTATGAATCACCTGCCTGAAGCGATAATGCTCATAGAATCACTAAAATAACATCTAAAGTCCTTTTTTATAGACTTGCTTTCATGTGAAGTTGTGTTATTTGCTCTTTCCTTTCCATTTGTCTCTTTTTCCCACGACTCTCCTAGTTGGGACATTTGTGTGGCAACATTGCTAAAATGAAGTCAGGTTGGGGCATGAAGAGTGAAAGAGCCAGTTTCAGACAAAAGACGACAAGACAAAGATGAGATTTGCATTGTTAACATCCATAACAATGACCTCAAATGTTGACCTAACTAAAAAACTGTCCCATTAACTGATGGATTATTTTTAGATTAACAAAGATATGTAACACAAGTTGGTTTCAATGTCACATAAACAAAAAGAGAAAATAGCAGAGACAGACATGAACCAGATTTCTCAATCCCATGTGAGCATGATCACTGAAACTGTCACACTATTGTGTCAGATTTCATCTTAAAACTACAACAACTTCTGACTCAACGGCCTCTTCTTCCCTGGGAATGTGAGGATGAAGCGGAGCCAACTCATCTGCCTCATGTGCCGCAGTGTTTGGCTTTTCTTTCCTTACTTACTTACTTAGTCCTTTTCATCTTTGTTAATGTTGGCATCACTGAGCTGGACTGTGGCTCTACTCTTGCTTCAGTAGCGGGAATGCTGCTCGCTGTTGGCCACAAATCTGAAATCTGTCTCAAAACATTCAGACCACCAAGGCCAATGAGAGAGAAAGGTGGGTATTTAGACATGTAGAAAACAGCCAGTGACATAATGTCATAATGGTAGCTCTTTTTGTTTTTAATGTCCAAAGTTGGATGTTGCAGCTCCTAAAATGTTTTTGTTTTCAGTCACATCTGTGGTGTCTTTTATACTGCACCTCCCAAACATCACTCAGTTGCACGGTGGCTTCTGTCTACTTTTCTGAGTATTACGTTTCTTCAATGACGCAGGTTACATCTGGCTCACAAAATCTGGACGGTAGGAATGATACCGTGCTCGTCCTCTTACCTTCTTTTGGTCGAATGAACTTTCTCTCTCTGTTTTCTGAGGTTAAATCACACAAGAAATAAAGACAAGGGTTGAAGTCGAATAGTCCATTTAGCTTAGGAACCTTCCTAACGGAGTGAAATGACCCGGAAGTCCCTCAGTGGCAGCCATGATAAGTGCCGTTCGAATTCTCTAAATGAAAGGACTTCCTTTATAACCTCCTTTAGCTTAGGAACCACTGGACCTCCCTCACCGAAAGGAGAGGAGAAAATGCTGCCCCACAATGCCTTGCGGCCGCGGCATTTGCCGTCACACAACAGTCGGCCGTTCACGGAAACAACCGATTATGAACGAGAAATTATATCATGAAAGTTACGGTGCTTATTAAGCATTTTAAAACGTATGTGGTAAGTTGCCAAAGTGCTTTGTTTTGAACGTTCATCAGAATATCAAAAAGAGAAATATGAACGTTAGTTTTTACTGAAATGATCAAATAAAGTCAACATTTCACAGTGTTTACTGAGCTGTGTGGGGTTTGTTCAACTTTTAAAAGATGTTTGAACAGTGATAGATGTTAAGGACCAACGTTTATAATAAATACATTTGTATTGATTTTAAGATCTTTTCATAGTTCATACAATCATATGTATTGGGATCATTTGTATTAATGTGGACCGGAGGGAGAGGATGACGAGCATAAGTTTCACTTTCCTTTTTTATTTCAATTCCAACTTTGGTCATGAAGAATATGATTCTCTGTTGTCCCCGTTCATAAAGCATAAAACAACAGCATCAGAGCACGGTGCAGAGTCTCTAGATGAGTTTACAGTAGTCCCTCGTTCTTATTAAACATCCATGTTGTAGTCCGCTGTATAGAAAACTGTAGTTTCCATAGTTTCCCCACAGCAGCAGACGCACATTCATGACGTCCGCTGGCGCATCCTAAACACGTCGGATAGTGAAAGTGCAGTCGGATTCTCTAAAGTACCGCAGTCTCTTCTCCTAAATCCTTTTGAATTCTCCTATCCACTATCCCTTAACCCCATGACGTTTCACTCTGAGGTCAAGGAATAGACGATAGGGTTAGAATTTAGGAGCTGATTTTTGGATTATTCGACCGCAACCAAGGGCTTTACAGAAGTCCGATTTCAGTGAAACTTTAAATAAGCTCCCCTGGAGATTTTGAACCAGAGCTAGAAAGAAAGAGGACACGGCAGCACAGATATCTAGCTATTATTAATCAGCTAATACGCTTTACACAGATGACTAGGGCATTCTGGATGGAACCCATTTCTCTGAATAGAGGGACCCAAAATATTTGATCTCCAGTGCAGTTTGTTATTTTTGATGCTCTGCTTTTCATTTCACTTTGGATGTCAAGTTGTTAAGCTAAATAAGGGTTATTCCCATATGGAGGTGATGAAGATGTTTTGTGTCTGTTTTGCAGGAGTGCCAATGGTCAGGGAGAAACGTTTATTTTTAGAAAGCTCAGCTAAGAAGTCCGAAAGTCTATAACCCAAAAACGTCTTAAATAACTTTTTAACAATGCTCAACTTGAGATGAGAGGGTAGAAAGTATATCTTCCTTATCAAGGTGAGAAGGAGGAAGCAGTGACATTCCATTTTATTAGAACTTCCCGTCCACTCCCCTATGGATTTGAGTTGAAGGACTCATGGAGGACTTTAAAACACACGCTCTCCTTCCGGTAACCCTTTTTTTTTTTACAGCTCACTAATTACTAAGTATTTACCTCGTAAATAAAAGGTTAATTATACTACAATTAGGTAATTGCCACTGGTTAAGAAGAAGGTACATACAAAGAAACCTCAGCTGAACTACTTTAATTCTATTTACCTAAGACTATGAAATAACAAATGATACGATAAGCCTGGTATCACCATGATAACAAACAAGTGCAGTTTCATTAAAAACATCTGTAAGGAGGTTGTAACCAGGTCAAGTGTTCTTATATGTATACCAACCTGAACAGGTCAAAAGTACACACAACTTGGTGTGTAACAGTTGAGAGTGTGTCCTTATATCTCAGCTGTAGTTTCACTTAATGATCTTCCGTAATAAGCAATTATTGTAACTAATAATGTAATTTAATTGACCATAGATTTACTTGGGACTGGACAGTGAGAGGTTACCTGCTATCTCATTCTCATAGTTTTGAT